TCATTCTCCCAACAAGAATTTTATTGCATGGTGACTTTTGTATACAGTATGTTTTCTAGATTATTTTTTTTATTCTGATTTTGTAGGCATTCCATTTTGAATATATAATTTTAACATCTCAGTTTGTAAGAATCTATCTGCAGTGCTAATCTAGGGCTGGGGGCAGGGCTGGAGTTTCTAACCTCCTGTTGGATTGGGCCTGCCCTTCGACCAGCTATAGGCAAGAAGAAATAGTTTAGGTCAGGTTCCTCCTAATCTTCTATATTTTAATTTAAATCCTTTTCCAAAAATGTATAGAGATACTCAAAGATTAGTGTGAGTACTGTTCCAGCAGTAATTGCTTTGTTTTCAATTTCAGTAGGAAATTCAAGCTGAATTTGCAAGTCCTTAACTAATATGACAACCAAAATACAGGTGTGCTTCAATTTATTTCTCATTCTCTGTATTTTGTAATGCAATTCTCCAACCAAAAAGTGCATAGAGAAATGTGCACGTTAGAGAGATAGACGTACATGATTTGCAAAAAGGGTATCTTAGAGAAAACAGCATGATAAAAATGTGTACATTAAGGGAAATAACCACACATATAAACAAAAAGGAAATGGGGTTTACTTTCTTATCCCAGAAAGTGTGTGTCCATTGCTTCCTGACCAATTATCTCCAAAGCTAATTTCTGTACAGGACCACTTAATTCGGTGCTTCCAAATAAAGGTAGTGTAGCCCTAACCGTTGGGCAGCTGGTCAACTTTATAATGACATGCTCTTCATTTCACAGGGCCCTCAAAAGAATGTTGAGATATATACCAAAGGTAGACCTAGTTGATTCCTCCACAGTCCTTTTGTGATACTCTCATTTTGATCCACAGCTGCTTATTTACTCAATTTCCCTACATGTTTTGTGGTTGGATCAGCTTAAAGTAGTTGAGGTTCAGTTCACTTCAATTAGAGCAGTCAAGGTTCAGTTTGAGCTTAAAAGCCATCTATTAGGAAAAGATGTTCTGTTTCTATTGATGAATGAGATGCTTCACAAGTTCATTGTCCAGATTAGGAAGGTAACACAACTGTTGCAGACCATTAATTTTTTTTTGGAGGGGGAAGAAGTATGGATTTCCCTTGGTTCTGACATGGAAACAACTTGTTAATAGAAGCTTCCTTGGATAGCTTGTCTGCCATCCGAGTGCTCTCATGCACCATTGGTGGATCTAGATTCATTTTACAATTTACATATTACATCTGCACTATGAAAACTCTGGCAATTAAAGTAGGAACAGATGCTCCTCTTTAGTGATTCACTGTTGGCAGTTTCATAGAAGAAAGATGTGATTACTTCCATTCTTCAGCACAATTATAAGTTCACAAATGAGATCAATGAATTAAGACTTCCAGCAAAACAGCCAACGTTTCTGTTGGAAATGGTCTGTATTTATTAGATGCTGAGTTGGGCTAATCTGCATCTAAGAAATCCCTGTGGTACCATGGCTAGATTCCATAGCTGAATTTCAGCCCCTCTTATTTCTGATCCAAGCCATCAGCTATTAAGTTTTTGCTTCAAAGTGATTCAGGAGGTCAGCTTTAGAACGCAGAGTCAAGCACAGTGTGTCTTTAAAGCAGTCACATCTTTTTTCAGGCTTCCTGCTTTAAAGAAGCAGTGTGTGTTTGGGTGTATCTACATGCAGGGGGAATTAGCCTTTGCAGTATCACAGCATTCTATTTTTCTTCTAAAATGGGGTCTTTCCTGTGATCGTGCTATTCCTATAGGAGCTATTGGCTGGCAGTTCCAAATGGCCCTGTCATGGCATTAGTCCCAGGGCATCCAGGGAGAGAATGGCTGCCAGTGTAGGTCTGAAAGGGGAAGGCTTCTGAAGCTCAAGAAGACATCAGAGAAAAGATCTTGCTCATTTCTCGTCTGAGGAATATGTAGGTTATGGCAGCTAATTAAAGTTGTAGGGTCTTATTTGTAGTGGAAGATGTAGTAGTAGAGTTGATGATTTTGGATTTATAGATCCAAGACAGCCAAATACAAAGTGTTCAAAACCAACATACCAAAAAAAAAAAAAAAGATTCCTTGGCATCTTCCCAGTGTAGGAGAGCTGTGTTAGTCTTATGGTAGCCAAAAATCATCCCAATTTATATCCTGCATCTGTGCATCTGATGGTGAGTTGGACCTCACAAAAGGATCTGCCTTTTAATAAAATGGGCTAGTCTGAAAAGGTATCCCAGACCTCCTGATTTTTGGCATCTTGCACTGTCCTTGTCTAGCATCCCTAGCCCTTACCCAGATATACTGTGGGAACAGCACAGCATTAAATTCCCTTCCTGGCATATGGGGAGTTCCCTTTCAGAGTCACACAGGAATCTTGAACAATGGTGTCCTCTTCCATGGAAGAGGATACAATGAACTTCCAAGCACTAAGGAACTTGCTGAATGGGCAGGGAAGGTGAAGTTCTGTCCTCATGTTTCTCAGTGCTACATGAGGATGAATTTGGGAGTTTGCCTCAAGAGTCTGAGTAAGATAAATGCCAGTGAGGTAAAAGAAAAAGATGGCATCCATTTATCGAACCAAGCAGCAAATTCAAGCATTGGATTGAGAAAACTGCCTCCGCCACATGCCTGGGAAAGGAGAAACAAGGTGGTCTGCAGTGAGCTGTCACCCCACTTGCACATTTGGAAGAGAGGGAGAGGCTGCTTGTATTGCATGAGGGAGATCTGAGCTTTCTAAACTGAAGTGGTTTGCCAGGAACTACAAGGCCCCTCATCCTCAAGATCTACAGTCAGGTCCAGAAATATTGGGACATCCACACAATTCTAACATCTTTGGCTCTATACACCACCACAATGGATTTG